GATAGATAGATAGATAGATAGATAGATAGATAGATAGATAGATAGATAGATAGATAGATAGATAGATAGATAGATAGATAGATAGATAGATAGATAGATAGATAGATAGATAGATAGATAGATAGATAGATAGATAGATAGATAGATAGATAGATAGATAGATAGATAGATGAAAATTAAAAATACAAACAGTTTAACATATAAACCCTCTTCATGTTTTTAGTAGTGAATTGAGCATTTTGTAAAGTGCCCTATCGTTAGACAGAAAACAAAGTTACAACACATCCTGCTATTGAAAAATCATTAACAAGTGGTTGTTACTGATGAAAAGGCGAAGTTAAAGGTAAACTTTTTGGTATAATGTGCAATTCACACCAATTCATAAAAAAAATATTTCAGAGATTTAAACAGTTTGCCATTTCTGGTAAGTCACAGTTATATCCTGGTTGGAGTTGTCTGAAATCTCCCCACAGAAAAACATTATGTGCATATTGAAACACCAGACACTGACAACATCTAGTGTGTGACCCAATGAACAATGGAAAACCTTATGACAATGTGTTGTTGAAATAAGTTATTTCCTGTTTGTGGAATTTCCTAAATTGCAATTCAAACAGAATGAAAACAGAAGTAAATCTTTGGTCTTCGTAGGTCTGTTCATACTGATTCAAAAGTTTTCTGGTATACACAAACATCTGTTGTTGGTACTTCTTGGAGAAGTTCTTGCTTTTCATATAATACTGTTTAATTTTCTCTGAAAGGTTTTTAATCCATGAAAATTACTGAAGTTTTTTTCTGCTATCCAGGAGGTGGCAGTCATTCACGTGTAGAAAAAAAAAAGTACTTATTGGAAGTGAAATCCCAATATTTTTACTCCTATTTTCTTCATTTTACTGAGGTTGGCAAGTACTGCTAGAAAAAAAAGAGAAAATCTTCCAGAATCAAAAGTCTTACATAGTGATTTTAATTCACTTTGAAATTTTGTACAGCCACACTTATGCAAGTCTTCCTTTGTTGTGTGTGCACGAACGCACGCACGCACACAAACACACACACATACACATACATACACACACACACAGAAACAGGCACAGAGAGACAGCAAACATATAAGTGCATACATGAGCTCAGACAATCACTTGAAGCAAATACAAGGATGAAAGGCCGCCCTCAGGTTAAATACGTAAAGCTGTATTTTGCAAATGGATCTTACGTTCCATTTCATGCTATAGTTGATACGCATAGACAAATTACAGCTAAAACAATAAAGCTTTCATTAGACACCCAAATGCATCATTATATGCCAACCTCAAAAATGTTTGGTACATTACTTTGTAAAGTGATTAAAATAAATGCATATCTGATTGAAAATGGCAAAATTACTTCACAGCAAACTTACAGCACAACAGAGGCAAGTGTACCAGTTTAGGGTCCTGGATGCCTTCATGACATTATATCTTAAATTACACAATTATTAAGAGACCATTAAAACACAAACCAGTCCTTTTATTTCATTAAGGTCATGCATAGATATTCATCTGTAGCTTACACTGTGGTTTCACTTTTCCACAAACCAGTCTTCATTCCAACAGAGCTTTGGGATTGGTCTGTGCTGCTCATGTCCTGGTCCAGCTCGAGCACAGAGGTTTTCAGGGTGCCGTTTGGGGCAGCGGCCCCTGGCACAGTGGTGGTGACACTGTTCAAAGGATAGGAGCAGCGCTTTGTCTCTTGCTCTGCAGATGCTGCCATTTTCAAGTTGTCTCTGCTGGAGCATCGTCTCTGAGCACAGTGCATGGCCACTCTGCTTGCAGCAGAAGGAGGCAGAGGGAAGGGTTTGCGGCTCCCGCTGCTGCCCCCATCACTCCCCTCAGAGGGGCTGGTGGCTGCGGACTCCCCCACGCGCTTCCCATTTGTCAACAGACTGGCATGGTTCTCTGAGAGGCTATGGTGGATGCTGTCATTCTCACTCGTGGCTTGCTTGAAAACAGCATTTGATGAATAGAGGTTCTCTGAGCCTGTGGGCCCTAAAGCTCCAAGACTGCCGCCGCCTCCAGCAGTCCTCAAAGCTTTGAGACGATAGTGGCCTCTGCCCTCACCCCGATGATAATACTGACCGTTCCCTTGTTTAGTTCTGCTACTTATTTTTCTTCTCTGGGGATGCACTGGGGCTGAAGAGTTAATAATAGGCGGAATATTATTTGTAGGTTTGGTGATGTTGTCAGTGCTGGTGCTTGTGTTGTTGCCTGTAGGGGCACGTGAGGTGTTGCTTGGATTGTCCTGTGCCACCTGCAACAAGTTGGTGAGTTTGCAAGGCCCAGGTCCAACACTGCTGATCCCACTCGGTGTGGATGATGACCTGGCCGATGAGGAGTTGTGCGAGTCAATGGGGGGGTGGCAGCTAATGTAGAGCTGAGATCCCTGTTCAGAGGTGTGCACTCCACTTCCCGTAGTGCAGGTGTGTGCGTAGGTAGACACTGGATGGGAGCGGCGATAGCCTGGGCAACAAGCCAGCCATGACGCCTGCACATCAAGACGACGGAAACAGTGGTGCACCACTAGAAACACCCCTACAACTGTGGCAACTACACCATAGAGACAGCTGAACAACAAGCTAGTGTGGCCTGTTAGCCACACTGCCACGGCCCCACAACACCACAGAGCCACAAACAGGAAGTGGGTGGCTACCAGAACAGAGAATTGTGTCTTCAGAGAATACTGATCCTCTGGAGGCGCAACTGGGGTTACAGGTCCCCCGACTGAGTCAGTGGAGAGCAGGCTGGTGCTTCCTGCCAATGCAGGACGGGCCTCAGTCCCAGGAGAGGACAAGCTGGTTCCTGTGCATTCTTTGGTCACGCGATGCCTCAGGCGAAACACAGTGCACAGGAAATAAATCCAGGTCACCAGCACCACTAAACCAGCAGGGACAAAGAAAGACCCAGGACTGGAGCACCAGACCAGCCAGCAGCTGCAAGAGGCAGAGGAATGGAAGAAGAGTGAGTCGAACAAGGACAGCTTTGTGCGTCTGATATAAAATAATTCACTTCAGCACCAAACAAAACAACACGAAGTCAAGAACCAAATAGTTTAATGGTAAAACATGATTCACTTACTAAGGACCGTTGTCTCCATAGTTGGTCACATTGACAGCTGCAGTGATTCCACAAATGATAAGAGGAACTCCATCAGCTATTAAATAAAACCTGAAAGGACAGAAAAACACATCAAAGCCTTAGATCTAACATCGAACTAAATATTTATTTAATAGGAAGCAGTTTGACCTTTGACTTTTATCATGCACAGTGTTTAAAATGTATTTTTTTTTTGTTGAGGTTTTTTATCACTGATTGTAATCTAACAGAACTGTGACCTGCTGCTTTGCAGGGGTCAGCATAGAACCAAGACGTCAATGTTTTTTTTGTTTTTTACAGCTATGACCCCATGTAGTCGGGTGAGCAACAAAGAACTGACTGGAGACCCAATGAGGTCAAAGGCATGATGTAAAAGTCACAGTTTTTAGATCACAGACTGGAGGAAAGCAGTTGACGAACAGAAGAAAACTTGTGGGTGAGAGACCCCTTGAATCACCCTGCTCATATTTATGACACCGCTCACTGCTTCTCTATTGTTGGTGTCACGCATTCTTCATCTGCCCAGCGCTGCATTCATCTAGTCACATAACATTTTGGGCTTACAGCTGCATACAGTTATGTACCCCCCACCCTGTCAGGTTTTCTGAAAACAGAGGGGCTTTGATTTTTGCTCACAAAGTCCATCCTCAACAGTGCACAGTTTGGGTGGCCGTGCTCAAGAATTGCAACAGTCTAAAAAACATAAACCAAACTGACAGCAAACAATAATCTCATGGTGAAGGAAGGGGGTGAAGATGCAAGGAGGCAAGCTCACTGACCTGAGCATAGGTCGCTGAGTGGGTGGAACAGGAGACTCTCCCTCTGTCTGTCGAGGCATTCTCCACACAGCCTCTTTGTAGATGACCCTGGCACTGACTCCGATCCACAGAAGTGCCGACAGCGAGGAGTAGTGCAGAGCAATGCCCACCTGTCACGTGTCGGAGGTACATTACACGTGAAGCTCACGAGTTCAAAACACATACATGTGCACACTTGTTTCCAAAATTAAAACTTACTGCTTGGCAGACTAGAGGGTAGCTGGCCAAGCTTATGCCTCCTGCATAAATTGCTGTTGTCATGGCGATGTGGAAGCAGGTATTCAACAAGGTGTGCCAACATTTTCTTGATATGTGAATCGAACTGTGAGAGAGACAACGAATGAGAAGAAGCAGCGAAGAGTGCGCCGTAGCTGCGGTGCGCTGCGCGTAACGCTTCGGTACCTGTGATGTAGGATGTGAGTGATGATGATGGTGAAGAGGCAGAGCAGGAGTGCTGCAGTGCAGGCGTAGACCACAGGATGGAGCACTCTCACAGGGATCGAGCCCGAGTTGAGGAAATCTGGCACTTCCTGAGAAGAAAAGAAAGACACAGACCAGATAAAGGTCTTTTTTAGTTGTGGTGATCCTGAATGAACTGTCAAACATCTTCGCTTCATTTACCTGCAGAACGGCGTAGTTGCTGAGGACAGAGCAGCGCATTGTGGAGGTGCTGCTGTCACTGTGGACAAGCTGACAGCCCTCCTGACTCCAGGCTCCATGCTTCTCCGGGCCCCTCAGGCTCCACTGGGCTGCCAAGGCGTCCGTACCAGGGGACAGGTGACGCAGGGACACCCAGATGGGCTCAGAGTAGTTCCACATACTACACCCATCTGTCACACAATGACAAAAAAAAATAACACTGTGATTTCTTGTCATGTAAAGCTGAAATATGATGTGTTTGTATTCGTTTATATATTTTGATAAATTGATTTAAAATGCACGACACAGTCTATCTTATCTCAGATGCATGCTTTGACTAAAACCTTTAAAACAGTGAGGCAAAAATAAAGTGACATGGTAATCAAATACACAATAAGACGTGTATTACATGGGAGTATGAGTGCAAACAAAACAAAAAAAACAACTTGAAGACTCAAAAAAGACACTTTTCATACAAGTTAAAAGAATTAAACTGATCGCAAACTTTGCCAAGAAAAAGCAATGACTTCACAAGCAGTAGTGTGTTCATATGTTGCCTAAATATCTCATTTAAATCATGTCTTTTAGAATAAAAAACAAACGTATCACTCTGTGTTGCAGTCTTTTTAAAAACACAATGCTTGATTTTCATAAACTCTTACAAAAAAAAAGTTAACATGAAAGTTTACATACAAGCAGACCACATTGCATTTGAGCAGATTTTCTTTCAATAAGCAAAGCAGAAATTATGAAGGTAAATGGAGTAAAGTGAGTGTTTTTCTGTTGCTTTTACCGAGGCCTGCAAAGATGACAGGAGTGTTGACGCTTCGTTTGTGGGAGTGCTCAAATGAGTTGCTCGAGTTTGGCAACAGAGGAAAAAAGCTTCCCGTTCGGAAAGCTACAAACTGCAGCTTACAGTCGGCAGCAGCGTCAGGAGGAAACAGAGTCGCTGGAAGAGTGACTGAGGCCAGAGCAACAGAGTTCTGGAGAAAGAAAAAAAAACAAAAAACAATTTTATACTTAATGAAATAAAATCAGGCAAATTAGATTGAACTGGCTTCTATTCTAAAGCTTCTATTTGTTTGTTCACCTTCAGGGAAAAGTTGTTGAGGGAGGTGTTATGGGAGCCGGTGCTGCAGCGGAAATAAAGTTGTTGTTCATTGACAGATTCTAACATCTCCACTCCCGGCCGATCCACCGAAACCTCACGACGATGATATGCGGTGCAGGTCATACCGGTGAAGTGAGCTGTTCGAATTAGGTGGGCCTCCATCACAATGTTCTTAGACGCCTGCACAAATCAGTTTAAAATGGGAAGAAACAGATTCAGGTATTGGGATTTAATCAAACATATCATGTCAATCAGAGAGGAAATCTGTAGAGTTCATATTTTGATTTATTTTATCACACAGGCAAAATCCAAAATCCTTTTTTGCTATTGCAATTACCGTAATTTCCAGACTATAAGCAGCTATTTTTTTTCACAGGCATTGAACACTGCAGCTTATACAATGCTGCGGCTAATTTATGGATTTTGTTTTTTACGGGCTAATGAGCTTCATGCCACCAAAATATTTAGCCTCCTTACACCCAGGCACTCACAGAGATGCCCAATACACGTCTCTCTTGTGGGGTGGGTCCTCATGACTCAATGAGACTACCTGCATAAATAAAATAAAAAATCTGAACAATGAAATTATCAAACAGGTCACTTTGGAGATTTTTGTTGACGGTAGCGATCAGTGACTTCCTGGTAGGCTACTGTATTTTCTTGTTTTCTTCTCTTTTTTACCTGTGGTGTTTTACCTGTCGTGTCACTGTTAAGAAAAAACTTACTATATGTACTTGTGTATGTTACCAGTACATAGTTAATTAAAAGCTTTAAAAATCTTTCTGTGAAAATATCTCATGCTACAACATGGACACCTGCGGCTTATTGACAAGTGCAGCCTATACGTATAAGTACAAAATCATTTATTTATTTTTAATATAGTAGGCGCGGCTTATGTTTGGCTGCGCTCAATAGTCTGGAAATTACGGTAACTAAATTGTATGTAACTGAACGCAAAAAGAAACAAATGTAAAAAATGCAAAAGATAAAGATTGATATACGCCTCCTTACCATGGAGAAGTCTTGGGCGTGACTATGCAGCTGAGGCCAGGCCAGCGTCTCCAGAGAGTAGACGATGGAGCTACACGCTCTCTTTTCTCTCTGTGCAACAGCAAGGATCTGGTCATCCACCTCCATCAGGTTACTGCCCATCTCAACCATCATCTCCGACAACTGGAACAAGCACACACAGAAATTTGTATCCCAAAGATCTTCAAACCTGAACAGGTTGTTATCCAACGAGTGGAATCTTTCTCACCTCTCGCAGTTGCCGGACATATTCCATCAACTTTTCCATGATCTGCGCCACATACAGCACATCTACAGAGTCAGTGAAACCTGTGGTCTCCAGGGTGTATGATCGCACCTTGTCGGCCACTGTGACAGCATTGGACGCATTGATGGGTCTCTAAAATGCAAAGGGAAAGTATGGTGAGAATGAATGATGTCATGTCACGATTCTCAACTGGATCCATGAACAGACAGCTGCACTGACCAGAATGAAGGTATGCAGGACACGAGTGATTCCGTTGGTGTAGTGACAGTCTGAGTAGTCACCTTCCTGCCACTTTCCAGAGCGGTCACAGTGTCGAGAGGCCTTTTTCTGCTCCGTTTCCCCTTCCATAGTCAGGGAGGGGTAACGCAGCTGTAGGCAGTACTGATGAGAGGTGATGCCTGCCAGAGTTCTAGGCCACCTGTGGAATAAAAATAAGCATTCAGTGGAACGCAGAACCCTGAATTAACTGGTGCATTTCACAGTTCTCTGCAAATGTTTGATTCCACCATTTTGCTTTCAAAGAGCCAGAGTGTCATGTAATCTGCAAAAGTGGTATTAATTTATAAATCTCTAGTGTTTCTGAACGTCTTTCCAAAATTTTCTTTGAACTTTCAGTTGCTGTTTTAAACTGATTTCAGTCCAGTTCTTGCGCTTGACCATGAGAGCACATTGTGCAGTGTTTAAGATTTATAACAGTTTTAAAAAGCCTTGAAATTTTTTGCTCAAGATTGTTTTTAAAGACTGCAACAAGGTCCTTCTTGTAGGAAGCAAAATGGCTTAAGACTTTTGCACGATGCTTTAGTTTGACATACTGTATATAAAAATGATGTCACTGTAACCAACCTGAACTCTCCTCGGTTGTTGATGACTTTATCTTCTGGACAGAAGGTAGCGCTGTTCTCCAGAACTACTATTTCCACGGAGCGAGAGATGTTGCCCCGCCCAGTGGTGACCACACACTCCCACTCACCGCTGGCCTCCACATGGACGTTGAATAAGATGAGTTCACTGAAAGAAGATACAATTGAACACATTACCACCAGATACTGACCAACAACAACAAAAAAATCATTTCTACACATTTCCAGTTGGCTGCACGTAGTGAAGAAATGTGAATGAAAGTCAAAGCAAAATAAGAGAAGCTCCATTTACTGCACCTGGTGATGAAGGTGCAGTCATGCACCACACTGTTCTCCAGTTGAACTCCAGCTCCAGGGTCAGAGGTCACCATTTGCCCATTGTGTCGCCAGTGTAAGCTGGTGGTCTTGTCCACTAAAGAAGCAGTGCAGTGGAAAGGCAGTCGGTCACCGCTGAAGACCACCTGACGCTGGGACGGCAGCAGGGACAGGGTGTGCAGCTCCACTGGACCGTCTGAGCAGCATGGTGGGAAAAGATGCAGACATGGCTCTTACATAAAATTATTTCTCCTGCTCTCGCTCCATATCCAGCCTCAGTATGTTTTCACAGAAGCTGTTATTAGTTCTAAAACAGATTGGATGCAGACTGCATCAATTTGTGAACAGCTCAGCAGCAGAGATTTCTTAAGTGACTGCCACTCACAGAGCAATTCTCTGTGAAATAACGTGTCAGCCTCACTGGTGTGCTGTACTGTACCCAGGCTTACCACAGCTTAGCTGGCTCTCCCTCAGGGCGCGCAGGGGCTTCCCCCTCAGGCTCCTGGGATAGGCACACAAGGTTTCATCTCCCAAACGTGCTGAACTGCTGCGAAAGAAGCTCGACACCCAGCGCAGCCCACAGTCACAGGACAGAACGTCTGAGTTGAAGTTCCTGTAGAAGATTAAAAAAATAATGTGTACAAAAGAGCTCAGGTTCAGTCTAACTCAATTTTAACTTTGTGCTTCTGCTGCTCATAATGAAAGTTACTGGTAATCAAGGTCTTGTTGCATATACAGTACCTTATTTTTTGTTTTAATCCAAAAATAAACTGACTTTCCTGTTTATCTAATGATAATATACAGGTGCCGTTTTGAATAAAAACAGCAGATTTTTTTTTTTTACAAACATGGCCAAGATACTATACATTCAACTTCAGTGGTTTAGTTGTTATTTATTATTGGCTACAAATTGTAATCTGGTATCCAAACAATTATTGAATGCTTTTATATAAAGTGGGCAATCGCATGAATGTTTCAAGTTCAAGTATTTTTATAATGTTATTCCCATTTGGTGCATGAGGTGGAACAAAATTGTGTACTCAGGGTCCCAGTTACATCCAAAAATAGCAAAATTAGAAGAAAAAAGTTCAAAAAGAAACAATATCTAAGATATAAACTAAGATATACGCTAAATGAACGCTAAACGGTACACTAAATCTAAGATATATGCTAGTCACTAATAATGTAAATAGTACAGTGTAATAAGCAGCAGCCTGAACACGAGTGTGTGCTGAGCAGATTGGTATGAATGAATACAGCAGCATGAGATAATCAGCAGCATGACATCAGCAGCATGGGTAATCAGCAGCACAGATAAGTCACATATCACCAATTAAAGTGGCATTACAGTGATTTTGCTTTGTGTGTGTGTCTTAAGTGTATATGTGTGCATTTATCTGTCTGTTAGCAAAATATCTCACAAGACGGTGCTTGAATTTTAGCAAAACCTTCAGAAAGTAATCGTTTAAAGTACATCTATAACTAAATAACTTTTTAGCAAACACAAAAATAGCTATAACTCTCAATTTTTCAGACAATGAGCTCAACTGTGGTGTGTCAGTGGGTAAGAGTCATTCTTAATACATACAGTACTCCAACGGCTTATTGAATGCATAAATATTACACATAATGTTATTTTTATGGTTCAACTAAAATGACTAACTCCATCATTTCCATAAGATGATGTCTGGCATAAAAATGGCAGCGTTGTGCTGATATTTAAATGATTTTTTTCAGTATAAGTTCTGACAAAATAATAATTAACAAATAAGAAATGCTGTCGTTGTCTGCAAAATTTATTGTTCATGCAGTTATAGATCTTTACACTGCAACAGTGTACTTGTATGTACTACTACCAGCAGGTTTAGTACTTACACTAGTTTGAGAGACGGCAGCTCCTCAAAAACTCCTGGTTCCAGGGTGGATATGATGTTACCAGAGAGGTTCCTAACAAAACACAAATTAGTCATGAACGATTTTTCTCGGATGCTCAACAAGTCAAGGAGTGCAACGTTTTAATGCGTCCAGTCAATCTGCGTCTTACAGCTTGGTGAGATTGGTGAGCCCCTGGAACATGTCTGCCGTCAGACAGCCGATGCGGTTGTTGGAGAGGTCGCTAAACGTGCGAAAAAACAAAGGAATGTGTTAGCTCTTTTCAAATTAATAGCTCCTCAGCAACAAATCGTTATGTATTGACTCACCCACTGTGTGTTAGTGATGTCAAATCTAATATTAAATCATCCGAACAACAAACAGGCTAACGTTGAAAGCCGTTTTATGTTTGTTTTCCCTCTTGGGCCCTTTTCTTAAAGACATTTGATTAATAAATGCAAACAAAGTCCTTTCTAAATCATTTAGTTTGCATTAAAAAAAAAACATGATAACAGTCTCAAGCACTTTCCCTTATCAGGACCCCACAGTACCCCAGTGGAGGTTTATCATCAGCGGGGTAAAGCAGGGCCCCTGTTCTCCAGTCCACCCTGAGAGTGATGTATAGCTGCAGCCAGAGAGGGATCTGCTCTGTTGCACCTCTGACACTACCCAGCAGAGAGCTGTCCAGAGCATGTGTTTATCTCCCCCTGTTTGTTTTGAGAAGCCCCAGACCTTGCAGGGAAAATACAAGTAGGAGGGGAGGAGGGATGAGGAGTCACACGGTGCAGCTCAGACAAACACTTTCGACCCACTCCACAACCAAACACCAGTGTCCAGAAATCCGAGGAGCGAGCGGCTGCATAAGGTCGCGCTGTCACTTTCAGAGACATGTTAAGAGGCCCTTAATTCCTCTCCGAGGTGACAGAGATGACACGCTATAGGGCTGCAGCGAGCATCCGCAGAGACATTTAGCAAATGGAGTTTTTATGGTCGAAGTAATAGCTCAACATAATGCGGAACATCTGCTGCGAGCTGCCAGAATAGTGTATATGTTGGTTTGACTCGGCTACTGTTAATCTTATGAGCAACTGTAAACAAACTATCTTTTACCAAACATTTAAAGCCAAGCTGTCTGTGTTTGTTGCTCTGGATCCAACAGGGCTGTGAAACGTGCTATTACCCACTTACAGTTTCCGAAGCTCAGGCAGGCCTTGGAAAGCTCCGGGCATGATGGTGCTGATGAGGTTGTGCTTAAGATCCCTGGAAACAGAAAAATAGAAAATTAACCTGTCATATGCAGGGATGATGATGATGATGATGGTGGTGGTGAGTAAGGAACATTTGCATGTTGGAATTTGCAGAACATTAAGTTGGTCAAGTTTTCTACATTTATTTATCAGCTGGAGTCGATGTCATCAACAATTAAGACAGAAGAACAAAACTCAGCAGATTTAGACTGCTATAACACTAAAGGTTCACGGGAAAACAAATTAGATGTTGTAAGTTTGCTAAGATCAATTAGCTGTGGCAGCCATTTTGAAATGGGTTCACTCCAAACGTTACTCAGTTGTAAAGCACATCCAAAGATTACCTTCTGAAGTTCCTTTAAACTCTGTCCAGTGATTGACAAGATAACTGGCTAACAGAGCAACAGTGTAGATGTCGATCATTAAACCAAAGCTGTCTGCTAAAGTTTAGCTCAATGTGTAGCACTCATAGTGTTGGAGGTGATGTACGGACACACCAAAATTGTGAGTTAATATTTGGTAAAATTCAATTCAATTCAGTTTATTTATATAGCGCCAATTAGTCACAACAGAAGTTATCTCAGGGCATTGAACAGAAACATTCATATATAAAATAAGAAGTTAACACTTTTTATCTGAGGAGCAGACTGCTTTGAGTTTAACTCCATCACAGAACTCTCATCTTGAGCAAGCATGAAGGCGACAGTGGAAAGAAAAAACTCCCTGATGAGGAAGAAACCTTTATCAGAACCAGGCTCAGGACAAGCGGCCATCTGCTTGTACCGGCTGGGTTTGGTAGAAACAGATACACAATGGCAGAAACTGAGACTTTGGAGTAAGCTGTTGGGGGAAGAATCAGTTTTGTTGTGTATTCCTTGACTGATGAAGCCTTCCGGATCAAAGGCGAAACGTTTCAGCACAAAAAAAAAAATAAATAAACTGTCAAGATGACCTGACTGAAAAATGTTGGTTTGTAGGTTAGAAGTAAAATTTTGAATTCAATTCTGATTTGACAAGGAGCCAGTGGAGAGAAGCTACAACTGAAGAGACATAATCTCTCCTATTAACTCCAGTTAAGTCTCTGGCAGCAGCATTCTGGATCAACTGAAGATGTTTTAAAGAAGTATTTGGACACCCAGATAATAAACCATTGCAATAGTCCAGTCTAGACGTGACAAATGCATGAACCAGTTTTTCTGCATCATTTTTAGATAAGATGTTTCTAATTTTAGCGAGATTACACAGGTGGAAGAAGGCTGTTCTAGTAACGTTTTTAATGTGAAGGATAAAAGACATGATCAAAAATGACTCCAAGATTTTTAACATTAGAGCTGGAGGACAAATTAATGCCATCCAAGGAGGGAGAAAGACTGAAAAATTATTCCTAAAATTCTCAGTTCCAAAAACTAAAACCTCAGTCTTGTCTGTATTCAAAAGCAGAAAATTTAGACATCCAGGTTTTTATGTCTTTAAGACATGCTTGTAGACTAAGTAGCTGATGGATTCATTGGATTTCATGGACAAAATAACAGTGTATCATCAGCATAACAATGAAAATGTATCCCATGCTGTTTAATAACTTTACCTAATATGAGCATGAGGTAAAGAGTATTGGTCCAAGCATTGAACCTTGATGAACTCCATGACTAACTTTGGTGTATGATGAGGATTCATTATTTGCATTTACAAATTGGAATCTATCAGATAGATATGATTTAAACCCGTTTAGAGCCATTCCTGTAATTCCATTATCATATTCAAGTCTCTGTAGTAATTTGTACATCCAGTGAATACTCTGAACGTTTCATTAAAATACGCCCATTAGTTCACGAGATCATTTGCACACAAATATTAACAAATGAACACACTCACGCAGAGAAACAAGCATAAAACATTATCGCCTCATATTTTTGGTAGTGAGCAATAATTACAAAAAAATTAATAAAATATCTCAAGCTCTGTCTGGCTATTAAAACCATCAAGGTTTGCAGACGTTCATGATGTTGAAAAAAGTCTTTAAACTAACTAATAACTAAATATATAGTGACATGTCACTCAAGTCTACTTTGTATTTCCTCTAGAAAGAACATAACATTTTATTTTCATTGTTGTACACTGAAATAGAAAAGTTTAGTAATGAATTTATAAAATACAAATATTAGTCATATCCAAAATTTTAGTGTTCTGTTCAATGAAAAGCTCTTTTAAAATAAAAAAAATTGTATTTTCTTTAACTGCTACTGATGATCTTGCGTCTTCACATCCCATCGATGAATTAAACAACTTAAACCTGCACCAGACGTCTTTACCAGGTGGAAATAGTTGGGTTACATCTGATTAGACAATGTACAGCTATCAAAAAGATGAATGTCCCTGCAGCTTGAAATATTTCTGTTCCTGTCAGGTTTGTCACAGAGGACCATTTCCTTACAGAAGTTAAAGCTGCATTGTGTCTACATCTTTAATCACTGTGGCTTAGTGGTGTGGAAGACCTCGGGGGATTTTCTGGCCTTTTTATTGTTTTCGTTTGTTTCCACAAAGATTGACTGTCCTTGCTGTTTTGGACCACTCTGCCTCATGCAGTGTAAACCCTCCAGCCACTCTTAACCACACCATCCATATTCCAAAAGATGAGGGTGGATTTTTTTGGGATGTGGGGGTGAGGGCAAACGTGGAGCAACTGATTTTAAAAAATGACTTGCAGCAAAAAAAAATATTTAAAAAAAGGTACACAATTACAACGTGTGGTATGGATGGGATATTGTGAAAAGATCAGGGGTTTGCGTTTTGGCCCAGTTTCTCCCATATTTGGATTATAGGCAGGAGGCAGTTTATAATAACGTAGCAGAAAAAACCTTCTGGCCTCAGACCAAAGTATTGTCTTGGAGGGGACAGCCAAGTTCTTGAAATGTGCCAGAATTTATGAGACGCAGCATTTTATAACAGTTTTAACGAATGGAGACACGAGTTTTAGCTCTGGAAGTAAGAAGTAAATAAAAACTAAACACTAGAATGAAAACAAAGAGAGTGTTTTAACTCCCTGGTGTGTGTCAGTGTGTGGCCTCGTAGATCTGTTACAATGTTGTGCGTCTAACTCTGAGTCTCCGTGTGTCTCTGTGTGTCAGGAGCTGGTGGGATTTGTTGACTGGAGCGGCGGGAGAACAATACTTCAGTTTCCAGTCTGCGTGTCGCGAGCCTCGTTAGTGCAGCGCTGAAAGACATGGCTCTGCCCACCATTTCCTCCCTCGGAGGGTCGTCTGTCCCTCTCTGTCTGCCTCTTTCACAAACACACACAAGCATTTGTTTGCCGTCTAACACTGACCTCCATGTACAAACGCATTTTTCATCAAGTGATCATCTTTATGATCAACAAAAAATTTGGTGGCTGTATAGAGATCTAGACTTGAAACGTCTTCTATTCTCCTCAGAGATAAAATGTTTGGTTGTTTTATTTTCTTATAATGACTCGCACTCAAAACGTTCTGCTTTAAATGGATTTTATCTCATTAAAATGACTTTTTACAGTTTGCACTGTGATTTATTACAACAAAGGGGAAATGTAAATAAAAGAAAGAAAGAAAAATGAAAGAAAGAAAACTTTTGTGGGCCTCAGCAATACAATGATGCATGAAACAAAAATATATATATA